GCGCGAAGCCATACGTCAGGCGTTAGAGCGCCTCTTTTCAACGCATCCGAAGTTATGCAATATGCCTTCATCTGCTCCCATGTGTCCTCGAGCCGCCTCGTGTCCCTCTTTTACTTTGCTGGATCAAAACAGGAAACTATTGGATCCAGCATCGCTGCCGACAGCTAAACGGACGACATCCCCGCTTATCTTACCCTCTACAGCCTCATTTGCACACAAGTCTGCCTCTTTATCTTCGTCGCGTCTGAATTCGTCCAATCACTCATTCTACATGCCCATCGACACCGATCCATTGAAGCAGCTTGGATTTCTTCTCTCCATCACCCTTCGCGCTCTTGACAATGTATTTCACCTCACTTCTGAACTAGCCGAATCAAAGCAACAGATTGAACTGATGCAGGCCCGATGTGCCCAGCTTGACGGCCTCTTAGCACATGCACAGTTCGGAGGTGGTGAGTCGAGTCAATGTTAACTAAATCGGATTGAACGGTTTTTCAATAGCAGTGATCATTTTGATGACATTTGGTATCTTTCAGATATAACAATTAGATAGGTTTTGTAAATTTCATTCGATCTTGAATATTAGCTGTATTCACCCTAGACTCCGTGAGTTGATAAGGGATTGACAGTGAATCTTCCCTTTACCAAAGAACTTTTCATTCAGGAAAGATTGCACTTTCAACCTCGCCTGGATGTTCTTTGCAAATCCTACGAAAATCGAACCCGAATATCGCAGTGTACGATTTCAGCAACATGTTAACACCATGTCGCACTCCTGTTGGTGCCAATAACTCACATTGCAGACGTAAATTTCGATATCATGGTGGTAAAATTTATCTATCACTCTATTATCACCCTAAGCAACCAAGGCTTAATTGATCTCCTGGTAGTTTCAAAGCTATCAGGAGGCTGATTTGATTTTTAAGCATTTACTGTTTCGATTGTTTTTTTATTAAATGATAATAAATCAAATGTTAACGCTTTCGCTCTTCTACTCTGAGGATAACAGCAATTTTGAGATATATGTCAAGTGCGACTCATTGAAGCTTCACCATCCGGGTTCAATTCTCATCGGGGGTGTGGTAAGACTTGGAGATTACACTAGGTTAAATTCAATGGAATATTTACATTATTTTGTTAAAATGTAGCCTTGAGCAGGCCAGTATTAATTCATCTCTTTTATATGATTAGTAAAAGTTTCTGATTTTTTTACGGAGTTTTCCGTTTATACTGGCTTTTATCAGTTGTTGCTGAGAGTTATTAAAAATATTAAAGTTTTTGTACTGCTATTCTGTTGAGGACAGCCTTTTGCAATATAATTAAAGGCACAATTCGTCGCGGAACCCAATTATTCTCTTTAATTCAGATTGTACAGATTGGTCATCCGTCAAAACAAAAGAGCATTTTAAATTGCTATACCTCTACAGCAATATTCCTTATGATAGTTTCATAATAAAATCTGTTATTAACTATACGTAGCAAAGTTGGGTTTCGATAAAGCTCTTGATTTACAATTGTTGAGCTTAATTTAATAAAAAGTGAAAGTTTAATAAATTGATTTGAAGGTGGATCCCTCTTGGCCAGCTTTTGGTTGGATTTCCTTGAATATTCAGGTTGACGCTGCTCCAATGAAAATGGGTTAAGTTTTCGTCTGTCATATGACAAACATACTTAGAATAGAGTGTCATTCTTAAAACCAATTCAGACTAATGCCTAAAGAAAAATCCGTTAAGTAGGCCAACTAAGTCTATCAAAATTACTTTTTCCACGTGCGCAGCGGTTTATCCATAATCTATTGATAGTTTCGCAATCCTGCTGAATATGAACACAGGTAGAGTTGCCGAATGTAATGGTAGATACATGTTCGCTTCAGCGACATTTTCATTATAAAAAAATTGATGAGACAAGCCTAGCATGCCTTGATATGCATTTCTGATACTTGTGACAATGTGGCGTTTCGGTAACATGTCGAGAGTATACACTGCAGTAAGCGGGTTCATTTTTTGTTTGGGGTGCTAATGAAAACCAGGAGAGGTCGAAATTGCAGTCCATCCTGTATGAAATTGACTTATGAAAAGCAGAATCAATCCTTCATTATCTGAAGCCGCCTATGGAGACTAAAATTATTATTCGAGTCTTGAAATCCTACTCTCCATCTTAGTCTGCATACCTTCGATTAAAATATCCCATGTTTTGTGGAATTTCGCTACTTGATTTCAAGCTTTATGACGTCTCATAGATGTTTTTTTT